AAGTAGTTTTTATGATTTAATTGGCTGTGATGTTCTAGTCTGAAAGGGGAAAATAGTAATTTAAAGCAAATACTCCAAATTCTGTATGTCTGCCTGCTAGTCAGAAAGGGGTAAAAACAACTTAAGAAAAAAAAAAAAAGCCCCAGTACAGACTCAGGCTTGATATTGCTAGAGCTTTGCCTGCAATGTACTGTTGAAACCCTGGTGAATGCTTTCATTATGGGACCAATTTTTTTTAAATAAAATAAATTACACTGAGTTCTGACTCTTGATTACACAGATGTGTGTCAGACTCAATGCTTTGCAATTTTTCTCCTTTCCCTCTTTTGTGAATCTGTTCTTGATACTTACATTTAGACATCATATCTAGTTACTTTCTTTTGCAGCTCTATCCAACCTCCTGGTTTTCTTTTACCAGGACAGTACCGTCCCGGGATTGATCTATTTTTCTGTAGATTTTTGTATCCCCATGTTTTTCTTGCCTGTTGCCAGGCACATATTTTGCACGCGTTACAGAGACAAAGTGGCATCCAAAAAAGATTGGCTTTTTTAGATCCCTGAACAAAGGTCAATATCCAGAGAATGGAAATACTCAGGAAACTGGAAACATTATGGCTTATTTTTTGGCTTTGCAGTTCAAACTTGTAAAGAGCTTGTTAAGGTTGTAATTACCCTTCAGATGATAATGGCCTGACAGTGTACTGTGTACCTGGAAATTTAAGCTATGGCCAACTTCTCTACAGTATAATTTTGGACTTGTTTAAACTTGGGCAGATGTTTCCTGCCATCTGGTCATGGCAGGGAACTTGTATGCTGGGAACTGGGGACAGGGCAGGGGATGCCCCTGCTTTGCCCAGCACAACTCCACAGCCTGAGGATGTCAGGTTGCCTCTGTCTCTTCCTGCCCTCTCCCCCAGCCTTTGGCCATCTTAACTGGGAAAAACTCATTCTGTCATTGCTTGTTGTGGCCCTGCCAACCTCAGCTATGTGTGTGGATGTTGCCAGCCAAAATACAGCATGTCTAGCTCTGCTCCCATGCCCTCAGGACAGGTGCTGGGACCTGGTACCAAAACCCTCCCGTCCATGACTCAGGCATCGATAATAAAGCACTGAGACATTGGTCATTCCTGCACAGGCAAAATGCCTGATGTGATATTTTCAAGTGTTTTCTTGGTGCGCTCTAACTGGTACCAGTTTTCATGTGGCTTTGGAGAGAGTAGAGAGAATGGGTCCTATAGAGCAGGAAATCCTTCCTTAGAGGATTAGCTGGTTTCCAGAGGGTTAATGGCTTTTGTCTGGCAAACATTTTCTTAGAAAATTAAAACAAACATTAATCTCTGGTTTCAGAAGCCTATGACACTTTAAATATTCAGTGCAGTAACATTTTATAGTGACAAGGTTGTGATTTCTGTGTTTGATCATGAGTGATTTATGAAAATTTAGTAAACGGTGAAGAACAGTTCCCTCTCAGCTGCAGACTGGAGTCTTCTCTCTGTACAGACTTGTGTGCTTAAAGTCATGCAAAGTTGCTCCCGTTCCTCTAGAGAATTATATTTTCCACATGCAGTCCCCAGAAGAGCATGGGTTGAGGTGAAGGAGGCACAGGAAGTAATTTCTGCATTTAGTTTAAAAACAAAGCCCCTTTATCTTACTCATACCGCTTCAGCAGCTGTAAGCCACGCAAGCCAAAACCCAGGTGTGACAAACCAGAGTGCCCAGGAGGGTCCCATTACTTTAGTTTTCCTGCCTCAGGGCAAATGACTCGGACCTGACAAATTTCATCATACCTGAGCCCTCCTCATCAGCTGAGAGATGCAGCTGTCTCAGGGAGAGTTGAACGTAGTTGTGCTGGAAAATCCTGTCACTTTGGGTGCTGCAAGCAGTCCTTGAAATGAATCCTAAACTTGGCAGAACTTGTTTTGTGCTTTTTCATCTTCTCACCATGCAGCCAAACTGGTGTTACCTCTGTGTTTAAGAATACTAATTGGGTAATTGAAGACTTGAAAAAGATATGAGGTTTCTTCTGCACTAGTCTTCTGATGATCTTACCTTGCATGTCTTACTCCACTTTTTCCCCCTTCACAAGAATCAGTGCCTTCTCCATGGCTTCCCCTTACCCTCCTTTCCTGCACACATGGAACTGAGAATAAAACTTCCAAATTTACCCAGAAATTACAGTTTGAGTTTTTGAAAGTGTCTAATGTGGGAATGGAAATTTACAGACATCTGTCTTAGATGTGCTGTTTTGGAAAGTATATTGACCATCAGTATCTGAAATAGCAGGTTTGATTTGGCTGGATATTTCAAGTTAGGTGCCTGATATGTCCACAATCATTGATCTCTTAGAAATGTAGGCTTCTAAGTTCTCATAGAAATAAAAAAGCGGTGAAAAAGGAATGCATGTTACATGTTGTTCATATTTTTGTTAAGTGTGAATAGCTTTTACAGGAATTGATGCAGTTAAGAGATTCCAGTCAGTTCTTAAAAATCTGTTACACTTTGCTGTAAAAGTCACAGAAGTTTCATGCTAACTCTACAGATTTCTTATTTAGCTTTAGATTATGCTATCATTTATATTATGCATGTTACATTACGATTGATTAGAAACACGTTGCTGCTTCTGCCTTCTTTTTTCAGAATTCTGCTTAAACATGATTTTCTTTGTTTCAAAGTCCTGTTGTCTAATATAGCACCTGTTGAAAGTGAATGGAAAAATATTTATTGGGAATTCATCTTGACCTTGTAATTTTTAAACTGAGGCAATAGCTCATGTGACAGAGGGTTAAGGTTGTCTTCCTGGCAGAATGTAGGGGAGCATTCAAACACTGATGTTGGCCTGCCAGTGGTTGCTGGTCAGGTTTCACTCTCTTGCTGGTCATCATGCCGCTGACATGCTGTTCATGGCAGCCCCCTGATGTGCCAGTTTGTAAGCCCCACATACTGGCTCCAGAGTTTCTGGTGAAGATTTCTTAGTCTGTAAATTGCTAAGTCCATAGTAAGCTCGACTTATTATTAGCACCTTGTGTCAGCTCGTGTAACCCAGAAGTTCAGACATCACATTGGATTTTTCCCAGTCTGTGTGTTTTTCCCCATGCGATATACTTTCTGTGACTGGTATAGGTCAAGACCACGCATTTGTTGCTTCAATTCAATGGTCAAGTACCTGCTCTATTGACCACCTCAAGGTCTTCATTACTCCATCACTTAGTTTTAAGCAATTATCCACATGAGTGACTCTGATCCTTTTCCCAGCATCTCCGTTCCTGGCTGTCATTGCCAGTAGATTGTGGATGGGCTAGGCAGACTCCCTTTTTTAAACGTGTGTTCCTGGCATACCATTTCTTTGTGCCAGTCTTGATCTCTAGTAGTGCTTGGTCTCTGCCTTTCTGCCTGCATCACTAAGAAATCTGATCTCATGAGACCTCTTATTACAAAGTGAAGGGTTTTGCAGAGGGTTATTCAGAGTTTCCAGTTAGCCTTCTAGTGTGAGTAACTTCGCGAGGGTTAAGTTAATCTGCGTGAATATTCTTCTGTGTCTCAGCCTCAGCTCTCTTAGGTGAGCTCTATAGAAGTACTTTTTTCTGTAGCAGTCTATGGTAAAGCATGTCAGCCACTCCATAATACTGATAATAGTATTAATCTTTAAAGAACAGACCTTCAAAATTGCTGGGTGCACTTTCTTGTTGTTGACTTTGCTGGGAACTGGGAATTCAGCACTCAACCTATGGGAATGAGTCCAGATGAAACTCCAGACGGCCTTTCATGCACCAGTTGAGCACTACTCGGCTGGCAGTTTTCTTTTACTTGGTAACTAATAACTGGGTTGCCTCAGTTCTCATGAGAAAAATTCTGTTTGGGTTGTCAGTGTATGAGAAAATTGAGGGTGTGTATGTAACTGGGAAGGCCCTATTACCATGTCTGCATATCTGTAGTTGTAAAGCATGATCTATGGCAGCACAAAATTTGAAATTTGGTGGCATCCCAGGAAGTACTTAATTGCGTTTGTGCTTCATTACAAGGCTGTCTCCTTTTCTGGAATTTATTTTAGCTAATTAGTTGGAAATGTCAAAGTAGTATTTCAGATGACAGAAACATCATATATTATCATACATGAAGCAATTAACTCTTTTGACAAATATTTATTGTGGTGTCATCTTTAATTAAATCTTCAGTACTCCTAGACACAGAGCAGGTTCTTCTGAAAAGGAGGCCTTCCCAGCACTGTCAATGAGCATTTGACTGATGGGGCTAACTGAACTTGGTACTGAGAGAGTTGGTGGCCTAAATGTGAAGATATTGACATGACACAATTTCACAATACGGATGTCTGATATTTTGGCAAAATCCCAAAACAGTCTCCCCCCTCCAAACTCTGTCTTAGATACTGCAGGTGCATTATGCTGAAGAAGATGCATCTCCGGTCACTCCTGTTCTTCCACTGGGATGGTTTGCAGGAGAAAACAAATGCTGTGCACTTGTGCTGCTAAGATAAATAATGCTGAAAAGCAGGGCTGTATATATCTTTCAAAAAATCGTATTTTTTTTATTAAGTTCTTGGGATTATTCGTGTGGAAACATGTTGCAAAGATCTGACTGTTTGGTTAGTTCCTCTTAAGCAGGTAGGTCTTGTAGATGATGTGCCACTGAGAAATAATTCCTGACAGTTACAACTGAACCAGATAAACAGTTCTGATGACTCCCAAATAGCACTGTAAAACAAAAGGGTTCTGCTTATTGTTTTCCATTTCTTCATGCCTGTCAAACTATTTAATTGTGCATTACTCATCACAAAGGGTCTCTGTGTCTTTCTGATCATCTGCTATGGTCACGGTTTTTACTTTCTCTGTTGCAGGACCTACTGCAATATGCTTGTCCAGCTGTACCGCTCCTCAGCATTCTCCCTTGCAAAGACACTCTTTGGAAGTGTTGCATGAGATTTCTTCCTGTCATGGCCATTCAGCAAGTGTATTAACCTGTATATGTGCTTTTATTTTTTTCAGGCAGAAACAGCACCAGAAAGTGGCCGAGATGGTCCCAATGTTCAGATCAGCTCAGGGCAGAACAACTCCGACCCCACAGGAGCAGGTGGCTCAGTAGCCTCCCAGAGCCTGGTTGCTCCAGCTGCGGTCTCGGCAGGTACCTCAGCTGCAGCTTCGTTCTTCATAAGGTAGTTTTTCAGCTTTCTGGTTCCTGTAACTGCTGATGGGTCTTCAAAAGGTTGTGAAATGCTGTTGAGTCTTTGCCATGTGTAGAAGGTGTAGCGTGTGGTGCTGATTGCTGAGAGGTGGAGTTCGTCACATGGTTGTGACTGTGGCTTTCCACTGCCACTGGCGAGCAGGGATGTGATGGTGACACCCTGTTTATCTCTCTGGAGACCTGAGCAGGAACCCCTATTGACCAAAACCCAATAAAATATGGGTTGGTCTTTGTCTAGTCCTTAATGGCCATTTCCACCTGTAGCAGGTCTGTTATTCTGTAGGTTCCTTGGAGCAGAAGCTGAAGTAACAAGGTTTTTTCACTCAGATCTACATAAAAAAAGTTAGACTTTTGTTCAGTAGCATGGCCTATGTGTGCAAATAAAAGTTTTTGCATAGTTGGTAACAACAGTTAAAACAGTTTAAGACATTCTTTTTTTTTAGCAGTAGCCCAGAACAATCTTTTTTTTTCCGTTCTTGGGTCTTACAACAAAAATGATATGTTAGTTTTGTTTGTGAAATATTTGTTGTAATTAGCAATGTTGATTAAATGCAATATGCTGTCAAGCAGATGGTATTTAAAACAACAAAATTCAGGGCTTTGTACTTGCATTCCAAACTCCTTTTTTAATTCAGAACTGAACATGTTTTGAGACAATATTGAAAAATGTATGTCTGTGAATGGTATTAAAGTAAAATTTATGCACTGAGGATCCTTCTTATCATGTAATCACGATGATAATTGTATTGTTTCCTTTTCCTTGATCTTTAAAATGTTTTGCACCATTGAGTAAACCATGTTTACTGTAAGTTACAATCTGACCTCAGAAGGAGCTCAACTTCCCAAGTCCTGTTTTTTAGAAGAACATAGTACGATAAGTCTTAAGCATTATGTGCCTATGTATCACAGTCTGTCTGTACACAAGAGATTGGGAAATGACTGCCTCAAGAGTGGGGTATGTAAGTTAGTGTTTTGTCTCTGTGCTAAGTGCTGCACGTTTAAAGTCGATGCAGAGATGGTTGCTTACAGAGGATGATTTGTTTAATTTTAAGACAGATGTCTGTAATCAGTGGGAGTGGAGAGGAAGGATAAGGGGAAAAGCTCAGACATCTCTTTTCTTGTTTAGTTACCTAAATAAGGACAGTTGAATCGTCTCCAATATACATAAACTGGACAGCAGCACAGCTTTCATTACTCTATTTCATATTGTGGGCATGAACAGTGTGATTTAGCTTAATCTACTTTAGTTTTATTTCTGTGTGAATCTGTATGTCATAAGCAAATGTAAAGACTGTCACTTTCACTGGGGAGTCAATAAAATAAAATACCCTCCTTGGAGCTGAAAGAAATCTGTGCCTAATAATCTGAAATAAGACCCCAAATTTTTTCTCCCAGTGATGCTTCTGACACTGGTCAGCAAAACTCAGTTCCAGTTTTAGTGTAAAGCAACAGATCCTTACTAATGATTGTTATTGGCTTGATTCAAAGATTCTTGAAGTCAGCAACAAGACGGCAAATGACATCATTGTATGTTGGATCAGGCCCTAATTGCTTCTCATGAATCTGCCTTTGCCTTCAGTGAATCGGAGTTTTATAGCTTTAGCAGCTATGTGCTAGCTAAAACATTTTAAAACCCATTAGTACATTGCTTATTCCCTACCCAGGTTTCCTCTGTTCAAAACTGATTCTCTTTTTTAACCAAAGAACAGGGCTGGTTGAAATTTTTTTGCAGAAAGCACTTCTGTCTCTTTTTCTGTGGTTGTTGCTGGAGAGAGAGACTTAAGTGAGAAATAAATTTTTCCTTTAACAGTTATCAGTTATCTGAATTAGTTTTGTAGGATTTTAATGATCTTTCATCATGCTGCTGGTTAATGCATTTCAGCATTCACGTCTCAGTACTCCAGAGCCCATCTAAGAATCCTGGGTTCTCTGAAAGCAAGCATGCAAGAAACAAGTTCAGTTATGACTGTGATTAAAACCACAAATTGAAACGCAGACACTCTCACAAAGGCTGGTGGAGAGAGATCCGTTATTGATCCCTGGTGGTCATAAATATGTTGAGCAGGTCCTCAGGTGGCAACTGTTGCATAGTCCTGGCCAGGCTGCTCCACCACCGTCTGTATTAACCTCAGGAGAGTCTCCCTCTCCCACTGCTCCTTCTCTTCTGACTGGTCCTGCCATTGAGACCTTATGGATCAAAGTTTCCTTGCTGGGTCTTCCTCCCACCCTCGAGCCATGCAGTCCTCGGCAAGAGGGGAGAGGAAGAGGAGGAAATCTTCAAGGATGACTCATCCTGGCAGAAACCAGGGTGGAAGCAGCCTATCCAAGGACCACAAGTATTGGGATATCAACAGTTTTGGCTGGTTTTGTTCAATACTGATGGGATACCAGGCTTCTGTGCTCTAGCCTTTCCAGTCCCATTTCCTCCTTCCCTTTGCACCATCCAGCCTTGAGCATCTCGAGGAAGAAGGTCATCCCTGCCTTGAATGCTTTGCAGCAGCATCCACTTCTCTGTCCTTCATCTCTCTGTTTAGCTAATCCTCTCTCAGCAAGCACCTAGAGATGAAAGAGAAGTCATAGCACTAGTGTTACGCTGTAGTCCCTATTCATTAAATTTGCTAATTCTTTCCTTACTATGTTTCTCTCAGCCACTTAGATTCTGAACTTCATAGCAGGGCCAGTGTGTTACATGCGTTATGCAGAGCCTGGCACATTTTGTTCCTTGTTCTCTACTGGAATAAATGCAATTAATTTATTGATAATCACACACACATATATTTTTTTTCCAAACATTGTCCTCCCTTTGGTCTACTGAGTACTTCCATCTTTTTACGGGAGTCCTTTTGTAAAAGGGGCTGTGTTTGGGACTTTATTTTGGGAAAAGGGCTGTTTTGTCATAGAAACAAAGCAGCTAGGCGAAAATATGCATGTATGTTAACACTCAGTGTATTGGGGTGCAGGGTTAGTTACTTTGGAAGACAGAGCCTTCATAGGGTGCTCATGGAAACTGCATCTGTGATTTTCTTTGCAGCAACAACACTAGATGCAGATTTTTTTCACATGAATAAAGGATTCCAGTCTTGTTCTTCATGAAATAGCATTAACTGTGTTTCTACAGGTCCTAGCACAATTAGCTTTTAGGCTGTGGCATGGTTTCCTGGCAGCAAATAAATGGCTTTTTCACATTAAGGCTAGAGTCTCTGTTCAGTGAAATAACACCCTTTGACTCTTGCTTGTGGGCTCTCTTGTGCCTGGGAAGGGAGGAGGTCTGTGCAGGTTTTGTTGGTTGATTGGTTGGTTTGTTTTTTACTCCAGCTTGTTCCTCAGTGAGTCATAGCTTTGTGTTTGTAAGGTCACAAACTCAGGACTGTGCAGAGAGTTCATGTCCTCACCTGGAAAATAATAACTAAAAGCTGCAGCAAAACATTTACCTGGTGATAAGAGGTACCTGTGGTTAAAATGAGTATCTTTAAGATAGTCTTTGCAGTGAATGCATTGATTTTGTCGAGCATATGTGCAGCCCAAATCTGCATATTCATCCAAAGCTCTTTCTCATTTGAATATCATATTTAATTTCTCCAAGCTTAATTATGTTCTGCTTTTAAAAAAATAGTATTTTATTCATTACCTAGAAATGCAGAGTGTCTAGCATGGAAGTGCTAAGTATTCAAAATCAAAGCCAAATACTAGAGCCAGCAGACAGAAGCGTATTAAGAAATTAAATCAGTTTTAAGCTTTTTTCCTCACTCTGATCTGTCATACAAGGAGGAAAGCTTTGATTAACATCTGACTGTGTCACACAAGCAAATTGCCAGACATTACTCAATGGTCACGTTACTGAAGGACCAGAGGATTTAGCAGAAAATGCAACTTCTGAGTAGGTCACTGACAATAAGAAAGCCAGAGCAAAAAGCACAGCTCGTGAGCATGGATGGCTGTGAAGGGGCTCCTAGTTTACCCTTACAATGCAGGAGGAGAAGTTTAATTTTGCATTCTTCAGATTTAAGAAGAACGCAGCTGGGCTTTGTCCCTTGTTGTGGCATGAGCTGCACCTTCCTTAGTGCTCCACACTTTATACCTGTTACCAGGGTGGCTTTTTTTTTTTGTGTACGGAACCTGAACAAACTTTATTACTGACTGAAAATATGTGAGAGTTGTAGGACCCTTCTGTGGGCTGTGCTTTCAACTAAGTAAATATTGGCATATTGTGGTATAAAGCTGTATAAGCTGTTGGGTTTTTTGTCACCCAGACACCTGGGGAAGAGAGGAAATGGTCTTTCCAAGAAGAGACAGGAGAAGGGCAGAGAGGAAGAGGAGGAGAGTGGGCATGCACTTGGGAAGAGATTAATGGGCTATCTGCCAAAAAAGAAAATACCCTTCACTTGGGAGGAGAATCAAGGCCCCCGAGAAATCAAAGCCATCACCATCAATGTGCCGTTTCCACCTGTTGGTGGCTGGTGACAGTGGTGGCAGCACTGCTGGTGATGCTGGGTAGGGGTGCAGTGTTTTCAGTGAGAACATGGGTGTCTGGCCTTGGTGTGAAAGGGCGAGCTGGAAGGAAGGTTTGAGTAGTAACAGGACAGCTAGGAGGAATCAAAGCTGTTTAGAAAAACATATTTATAAAAACAAGCAACCCTGAGCAGTGCTGAGCAGAAGACAAAGTGTATTAAAGTCTCCCTTCTTAAATTTCAATCTTGTGATGGTGAGTTGCTTTCACATCTTTTCAAACTGGTTTGGTCACAAGATTGCTCTTGCTGCTGTGGGACTGCTGCCTTTGAAGCAAGGAAATAGTGGTATAGTTGCAGCTACTTTTGCTTGCATCTGCCTGCTTTTGAAGAATTAGTCTTTCAAACCTAGCATTCACTGTGCACTCACTAGTTTTCAGGTTTTGAAATTATTAGCAGTGTTGCTGGCCTTTGCTAGGTTAAAACCATTTAAGTTAATAAATCTGGAAAATCGTAGTGGTGAATC